AGTAAGAGTTTTGTATTAAAATAAAAGTTATAAAAAGTATTTTAGAAATAATGACATTGTAAAATTAAAAAAAAAATTAAGACAGAATAAAATGATTTATACACTGAATGTACTCAATTCTTCCTCACTACACCGTTCTTAGAACAAGTTGAATTTTAACCATCAAGTTCATTTTGTTATAGATTATTTAATGGGTATAAAATTTTATGAAGTATTATCCATATATTTTGTATTATTGTATTTATTGCTTTACTTTACATTTATTCACCTCGTGATAACTTTTATAAATTTTTTTTTCTTAATGTAATAAAGTAATATTCTTGTGACAGTGATATCATATATATATTTATTTGGTTGGTCACTTTTTTTTTAATTTCTTTACTTTCAAAAGATTTGTTGCGTCAATATCCAACCTCTATGATATGGATGAAATAAAATTTTCAACCCAATACTAGTATGAGACCGGGTCGTTGTTTTTTTTAACTGTTAACTTGTATTAAAAAATTAATGTAACTTTTATTATATTTAAATGAATAATTTATTAATTTAAGTATTATAATTATGTATAATTATAAATATAATATTTAAATGAAGACTTTAAAAAATACGAAGAAAAAAAAGTCAATTATGGGTGTTTTTCACCTTTTATTTAAATTAATGAAAAATAAAATAATATTATTTTTGTAACATTCTAATTTTAATTTAAGACATTATAAAATTGATAAACAAAATAGATTTTCTCAACATATAAATATAAATATAAAGTATTAATACAGTTAACGAAAAACAATAAAATATGTTTAAAGTAACTGAAAAAAACTACTAGACGATAAAGAAGAATATTTCGCATATCACAATCCTCCACCAGATGCTTCAACACCTACCTCTCATCTGCTCGGACTAATAAGGTGATCATCACAAAAAGAACAAACAAATAACAAGAAACACTAAAAGAAACTACAAGGTAAGATAATGTGCAATAGAGTTTCATAAAAGAAACATAGAGACATTATCATACATCACTCGTTCATAAAGACAACCATATCACATAAAAACTCATACTAGACTCAATCATTTGAATCTAAACATTCATGTAGGACTAATGGTCGTTTTTGCACTTGTGATGATCTCTACTACATGTAGAGTCATTGTCAATGAGTTTCACTTTACCATACACAAGGTTAGTCCCTTTAACCGTTGTAAGAACCCTGGGACTGTTCTTAATGATAGGATATTCTGCCTCTCTCACCACATGACTTATTTTGTTGTACATGAGCTTGAATGAGTATTAGAGTATCAGGATAAACCTTCGGTGATGACTCTTTACATCAATGCACACACTATTAATTACATCAAATGGGATTTCCTTCCCTGGAATCCCCTACATTCACATCATCATCACATTTCATAAATCATTATTCGCATACACATTTATCATAAATCTATCAACCATCCTCGGATAAACATCTTTTAACATTCACAATATCATACATTAAACTTATTATAATAGAACATATAAGAAAATAGAGTCAGGCTCTGTAATTTTGATCATTGAGAACATTTTCTCGCTTAGCGAGTAAGTGCCTGATAGCCTACTCGCCTAGATCAAATATCACACCCAACGAAATAATCATTGAAATTCACAAACTTAAATTTTTCCAAAAGTAGTTCAACGAGTCTTGTCTCGCCCAACTAACATAATTTTGTAGACCAAGAAATTTTGTAGACTTATGCCATTTCAGCCAACAAACATAGATGTCAACACATACCAAATTTGAATTACACAACCTTCAATAATTCAAACAATATCATCTGCAATACCAATTAGGCAACATTCCTAACTTCCTCATACAATTCAAGTAAGCCAAATCGAAACCTTAATATTTCATCATAGAGCTCAATCATGCAAGCAAAACATCATACAATCTTACAATTAGCAATTGTATGGTATTAATCATATAAAAATTATGCAATTAACTTCTCTTACATGAAAGACATACGGAATTGTTCTAAGGAATCCCAAATCTCTTCAAGCTCACAAGATGTCCTATCTATACCTAGGAACAACACAAACAATCAGGACACACCATTAGAATAATCAATAGAGATTCGTATAGAACACTCAAACACTATATGCGAACTAAGACGATTCACATGCACAGGAAAAACATATAGACCAAGAAATTTGGTAGAAACCAACTTACAAAAATGAAGAAACTGATCAATCCAAATTGAAGAGTTTGTCCTAAGGATCAATCTTACAATCTTGGTTCTTCAATCAGAAGAGTAGAGAAGAAAAATTCTAAGAAAAAAGTTAGAGAATCCTAGAAAAAGTGATTTCTAGTGAGATTGTGTGTTTTAAAATAATGAAACTCATTATATTAAAATATTTTCATATTAAAAGTCTCATTATATTTAAACATTTATCACTTCTAAAATGTCATTTTCTAGGTCTTTACATTATCCTCAACAAGAAAAAATTTTTGCCCTTGAAAATTCACTCATCAGGTAGAAAGAAAAGTATGCTCTCCTTATTTTCTCTTATAACAACCGTCTAAACTTGATCGAGTTAATGTCTTCAACACCTTAACTAACTGCAAACCATACCTTTGTGCTAAATGATAAAATGTTCAAAAGTGTAGATTGGCATAACCATTACTCTCAAATGTAACTCTCAACCTCAATTCTAAGGCGTGAATATTCCTTTAAGTTTGACAAACAATTTGTATCTGCTATACATAACTCATCTTCCGTACATTCTCTAATCCGTTAATTTGCAACCAACCCTTAACAATATTTTGTTTTACTTGAAATCATTAGCTTGAACAATACCTATCAGCTTTAAAGTACTTCACAGCTCTAAGATGATTTACATGTACAAGAAGAACATACACACTAAGAAAAGGGGCAAAAAACCAACTTACATGAATGGAGACACTGATCGGTCCAAATTGAAAAGCTTGTCGCAATGATCAATCTTACAGTCTCGGTTCTTCAATCAAATGAACGGAAAGAAAGGACTCTTAATTAGAAGTCAAAAAACTCTAGAAAAGTGATTTCTAAGAGATTGTTTGTTTAAAAATAATGAAACTCGTTCATAACAAAACTATTTATATTAAAACATGTTGATATTAAAATAATCGAGTCACATTATTTTTAAACCACTATCACTTCTAAAATGTCATTTTCTAGGATTTTACAATTTTAATATTGATTTCTTTAGATTATAGAAAATACAACTAAAATACCAATAATAATAATAATAATAATAATAATACAAATAACAATAATGAAAAGATTAAATAATAATATTTGAATATGAAATTATTTGTTTTAAAATATAAAATTGACATAATTAATTAGTGATGTGTAGTAAAATAATATTGTTATATGATTAAAATTTAGCATTAAACATTTGAGTTATATATTATATTAAGATGAACAAGTCGTTGTTAAAGTAAAATATAAGCATATATTGCAAAATTGATCTCGTACAAAATAAATATATGACAAAGTTGATGTTAAAACTTTTAAATAAAAGCACATGTAAATATAAATAGCTTAAAATAGAGTGAAATATTGAAAATGTATTGGTTATATAGAAAGAAAAATGAAGTTATATATTCTAAAGAAAATTAACATCTATAAATGCATAAAATGCAACATACTGTGAGATGTAAAACCTATTAAAAAAACTTAAAGTAACATCAATTTGAGGTTAAAATTTTTAAACAAAAATACATGCTGGTATTGATTTTGTCATTGACACGGTGGAAACTAATCATTGATGCGTTCATAGTTTTTTTTTTTTAGAATTAAGCATTTAAGTATGAATTTGTTTGTGTTAAATCATAAAATACATAATAATTAATTAGTAATGTGTAGTAAAATAATATTGTTAGATAATGAAAAATTAAAGTTTTGAATTATATATTATATTAAAGAAATAGAGATCATGGTTAAAGTAATATATATATATATATATATATATATATATATTACTAAGTATCAAAAGCATTTTACAGGTGAATCTGTTATCTCTTTTCTGATTATACTTGAAGCTCGATCTAGATTACTTCACAATTACAAGCCAACATTTTGAAAACAAGAATTCCACATTAGAAGCTCCTCTGCGAATCAGGTAAGTCTAGTTTCTTGCGATATCATTCTGCTCTTCTCAAATTTGAAAACCGATTTATTATGGTTTTCATATTATGTGGTCCAAACATGGTGTGCCTACCACTTGTCAATGCTAAAGGCAGCAATTTAGGAATTTCCTCCAACAAGAACAGCTGGATCTTCCCTGAAAGTATCAATGTATAACATTAGTTATTGTATTTTTACTTAGTGTCATCATAATGAAAAAGACCCCTTACTTAGCTTCTGTTTTTTACCTGTCGGATATTCCAAAAAGGCAGCATACTTAATTATTATGACTAATAATTCTATATGAGAATTCAAGAAAAATAATTCATGTTACCCTATATTTTATTCACACCTTTTATTTTATGCTTATCTCTCTGCACCAACTTCTAGAGAGAAAGAAACTTGTACACCCAATCCTCTTTCTCTTCTTAATTCTTTATATCATATTTTCAACACTAATTTTATTTCCTTTTATGATAATATTTAACACTCATCAATATTCCCATTAACAGATATGAAAGAACAAAATAGAAAAATCGTAGATCATAGAACATATAATAATAGGAGAGATAATTATTGTTTTGTATTTATTACTCCATATATTTGCAATTAGTTGACCATTACTTAATTATTTATAAAATTATTATCAGCAGATTCAAATATTAGTATTATATAGTATATTATTATAAAAAAATTGTGAATATATAATTTCTGCAGTTAATAAGGTTTATATACTGTTATCCTTCTTCCTATACCACTTTCTTTTCTTCTGCTTTATTTCATTTATTATTTATATCTATCTCTTTACCTATATATTCCACCTCTCTCACTGCTGAGGGAACTGTGGAATCATTTTTCTTTTTTGTCATTCAGATGAAAAAACAAGAATCGATTAAAGAGATTTTATTTTGGAGCGTGGAGGCTGAAGAAATAAAAGGTACTAATTGGAACTTACTGTCTCCGATATTGTTTTGTCTTGAACAGACCGTTTAGCGTGGCTTTCGTTAGCATTTTTCATCATAACTCTCCGGTCTGATTTCCCAACATCACTAGTTCGTCCTTCTTTGATCAAAACATCTGCGTTCGGCTTATTATTAACTGGAACGGATGGTTCTTCACGTTGTCCACAATTGTTTACATAGTTAGTAGCAGCTCGTGTTATCTGGTCACTTCCACCATCTTTTTGAACTTGACTTCTACCTGAATGGGTTGAATATGACTTTGCCAAATCTATTGAAAAATATGAGTCGCTGTTTTGGTAGCTAAACGGTGAATGATCAGAAAGTGGAGTCCATTTATCCCGAAGTGGTGTTCTTTCTTCTAATTTTGATAAAAGTTCATCAGGGTTTAGTTCTTTTCCCAGTAATTTAAGTTGAGCATTCTTCATCCTCTCACTCTCAGCTCTGTTAAGATTTTTCTTTGGACTACTGTACAATCTCTTGTTCCATCCAGCGGTTTTACTATCAAAATTTTCTCTGGGTCCCCCTCCAATCTGTTCCGCCACCAAACTCATGATCCCGTACTCATACCCTTTGAAACTATCACCTAAACTTGCACTGAATTTTGTGTGCTCCACTTGGTGACGGGTAAGTTGCCGTAACAGAGGGCTTGATCGAGAGAAAGACGGGCTTTGAAACAGACGGGGCTCTAGGTTTTCAAGGGCACAAGCTACATGTGTGTCGAATTCACACATGTTGCATCTATAGAGCCAGCGGTGGTTGTAATTACTGGGCTGGTTGCACAAGTCACAGAAGAACTCATAGGGTGGTGAAAACTCAAGCTTGATTTTGTGGGGGTGGCATGTGATTGCGAGGGAGAGAGGGAGTGCAAGACACAAGGCATGGAAGAAGATGGCGCATTGAGCACAGTGGTAGGAAAAGGCCGTGACACGGTGGCCACATGCGACACAGTTGAGAGTAGGTTTGGTGGAAGGTAGAGGAAGGAGGAGTAGATGGTGGGCTGGATGTGAAGGGTGGTTGGTGATTAAGGGCATGTTGTAGCAGACATGGTGAAGAGAAAAAGCACATGTTTTGCACTGGTAATAGTCGTCAGCAGAGTTAATTTTGATGTTGCATCCAAAGCAGCTTAGAATATTTGGTGCGGAGGGTAGGGTGGTGCATTGCAAAGGATGTGGATGGCTAAAGTGGAAAACATTGGGGTCCTCATCGTGTGCTGATCCCATGTTCTCTTTTTGTGAAAGTACATGAACGATTGAACATGTCCATCTTTGTGTCTCGTGTATATACTATATATTGCAGCATTCCTCGTGTAATGTTTTCTTTTTGGCTTTCTTTTGGTGGCATAATTGGAAGCTAGCTGTTACGGGTCTTCTGGTCTCTGGATGCTGTTTGGACTTATTGAAAATTCAAATGTGGGTGATTCTTGTTGGGAAATCCGTAATTTTTATGTTTTGGATTCTTGATCTGTGAAACCGAGATGAAAGGATTTGCACCAAGGGAGAAGTCACCAAAGAAAATGTTATGATTCCCCATTTTAGCCGGCCATTTTCTTTCCTTCACTCTCTCGCACACCATACATGTTTTTAGCCTTTTTATATTGTTCACTGCACTTTCTTTGTTCTCCTACGTAACATCGTATTTTAATAACTTTTTAACAATATCATGTGTCCTGATCTTATTGGTTAGATTGAATTTAATTTTAAAAGAATAATTAAAATAAAAAATCGTTAAATAAAGTTACTAATTTTTAAAAGAAAAATACCTTCTTAACATAATGTAATATTGGTCTTGAGCTGGACACTAACCTTTTTACGTGTTGGATTGATCTCAATAATAAAAGCAAATTTACTTTTTATTTATAAAAGCGTTGATAACATCCACGCTCAGTAACAAAAAAATTATATTTTATTTATAAAGGGCTAGTATCTAATCAACAAAAGAATATGATTTTTCTTATTTATATAGTTGTAGCATTGATCATGTCCACATTGAGCAATAAAAGAAATTTAATTTTTTTTTATAAAGGACTAGCGTCAACCAGACTCACACTGAGTAACAAAAAAATATTCAGTTTTTATTTATATATGTATAATGTTGTCCACACTCGTTAATAAATAAAATAATTAAATATGTTTTTAGTATTTAAACTTATACAAAAAATTAGAATATATTCATGTTCAAAATTTTAAAATATTTTGATTTTAAATTTTAAAAATAAATTAATATAACTAGGTTAACCTAGTGATATTAAATTTATTTTTAACAAATGATATAAATAGTTCAAATATCAGTTCAAAATATCGATTAATACAATTTTTTTTATACAATGGATTAAAACATTATATATATTTATTTGTAAAGTTTAAAATTTGAACGAATTTCAATTTTGCAAAATTTATAGATTAAAAATATATTTAATCTTACAGAAGGTAATTTTATTTATAAAGGGTTAACGTCGACCAAGCACACATTAGATAATAAAAGAAAATTAAATTTTTATTTACAACAAGAAGTCACAAAACATAAATAGTGTTTCTTACTGTACCCCGACATCGATTAGCGTGTATTGAATTGATGCAATGGGAGTGTGCAAATTTACTAAAGAATTTTTGTTGAAAATGAGCAGTGTCAAAAGAGAACCGCCCACACTTTGTTTTGTAATGTTTTATTTTGATTTAAATATGTTTTAATTCATAGAGGAAACTATTCTTTTGTCCTTTAATTAATTTTGTTATGCTTTTAGTATTTAGTAACATTCTCTTTATGTTATCATTATTTGCAAGATTAACCCCTTCACTTCATATTTCAAAATCTCGGCCATCTAAACTAAAATATAAGAATGGTAACATGAAAAAAAACAACAAATACAAAAAAAGAAAGTAAAGAAAACAGAAAATGTGGTGGAAACTGAGAGCAAATTGAAAAAAAAAACAACTAACAAAACGTGAGGAGATTAATCGTCATTTGACTTTAATGTTCACGGAAAATAAACTTCTAGAAATTTTTTGCTGGCATAACTTCATTAGGAAGCCGGTAAATATTAATGAAAATGATAACCTAATCGCAATAAAATAACTATCAATACTTTTATTGCAATTGGAATTTCATAGTAAAACATATAATTCTAAATAAGATATGTGAAATAATTTATTAAATATATAATTTCATAAGTATCTAATAGGACAAAAGAAATATGTATACAAATAAGCATAGTATATACTAAAATACCAGACAAAATATTAAATTTTATTACATAGAGAAAGCAAAAGTTTTTTCATACAAATGACTGTCACATTGCTTATTTACAAGTTAAATAGATTTAAAAAAAATCCAATGTCATAGTGATGATGTCAAATAATCATGCTTTCTTAACTTGAGGATGATGAATTCGGGAAGAGGAAATAGATGAATTTGAAGCAATTTGAAACTAAATTAATTGTTATTTATTTGAGTGGATTTGGAAGTATATGAAAGTGGATTTGGAAGTAAAGTTTGAGAATTAGTGTAGGATTTGATTGATGTTACACATAAATAAAATTTGTTTAATTGATAGAAATTAAATATTATCAAAATGCCCCTAGTTATTAATGTAATATAAAATGATAATTGTTAATCTTATATTTAATTCTAAAAATGTTTATAAAGATGAAAAAAATAAAAATTATCTTTTAAAATAAAATAAATATTATTTAAGTAAAATGAAATAATTATGTTTAAAAAATTGGTTATAAGTAAATAACAAGTTTTATATAATAAAATATAATTAAAATTGATATAATATAATTACATTTATTTAATACAATCATCTAATTATAATAAAATAAAAGTTCCACCTTCGTGAACTTACGTGGCAACATTTGTGAACTGTTAACGTCTTATCAAGCCATGGGTTGGTGTGAAATTATATGCATATATTCACTACACAGCTGAGGTTATATAATTAGGCACAGTGCAACACTATGTTCAAGAATAAGAAAATAAGGAATTGAAGAAAATTGAAATAGTTGAAGCACCACTGTAAGACTAGTATGACAATCCTGTTAGGTCAAAAAAGAGATTTTTTTTTCATTCCCTTCAAATCACGGCATATTAGAGTGGATGCGAAAAGCCAACATCCCGCAATTACTCGCTTTGGGTAGAGTGAAAGCGTTAATAATATTAGAAAACAAATAGAATTACCAATCAATGTCACATGTATAGGTACTAATCCAATAATAGTTTTATATATTTAGGATAATGCATAAGCTATGTCCATGAAAATATATATATATATATATATATATATATATATATATATATATATATATATATTATGGATTATTACAAAGATAGAGAAAGAGATAAGCAGAAGCAAGAAAAGCTGGTTGAGTTTGTCTATGGTGAACTTTGATTTGGGTGAGAGATATGCATATCCATTGCCTCTTCACACCAATTCTTCGATACGGGTCACTCTCACCTAGGCTACAGTTGTCCTAATTTCTCTTTTTTCGTTATCGCTCTATCTTATCTTTATGTCATCATTCTTTAACCACACTTTATACTTCTTTCTCATACATCATTCTTGCTTTATGTTTTCGTATATGCTTTGGTTTGTTATTTATTTTCACTTTAATTATTGTGTTATGTTTGTGGAATGAGGGCTTGAATGAAGAAAATGCATAACTTCAAAAACAAACACTGAAACTGAGAACTGAGGTGAAGCAAACTAGGACTATTTATTATTATTTGGTACTTGAGTCCTCTTGCTGTCATCATATGTCAATTGTTGGAGTATGTTTTGGATTATTTGCTCTATTGAATAAACTTTTTATGCTTATTGTTGCGATTGGTGGAAATTCGACCTTTATGTTTGTTGTTTCCTCTTCCTTAAGACATGTTTTCATAGGGTTGCAATCGGTTGTTTTCTTTGGTGGAAAAATGTGTTTGTAAGGATCTTGCTATTATGAATGTGGCATTTGATGTTAGAAAATGTCTATGGTGTTTAAAGTTTGGGGACCAATTTCCAATATGATGTTTACAGGCACCCTTTTATGCTTTGGTGGAAGAAGAAACTAAAGAGAACAGAGATTGTGAAACCAGTGGTGAAGGTTGCAATTTTCATACTTGAATGTGGCCAATGCAAATGTTACTTCGATGGAGAAGGGTGAAATCTATGTGTATTGCTCTCTTTCAAAGCAGAGCTTTAAGGCTGATTTTTTGTCTCTTCCTCGTTTGTTTCACAATGTTGGAGAAGTGATGCCAAAGATTTAAAGTGAGATGAAACATGAAGAATTCTTAGCAATGAAAAGGGGAAGAAAGTGACAAGTGGAGATCATAGATGATATACATAACAGCAACAGAACACCAAGAAAGGGAAGAGATAGTGTGCTTCTTATTAAATCCCACATTGCTTAATTTACAGACTAGGAAGAACTATTTGTTATAAAAAAAAATTCATTTCAGTTATTTGATACAAGGAGTTGTTTAATGACTACATTGCGAACTATTCTTTTGCCTTTTGCTAAAAAATAGCGCGTAGTTAATATGTGAAACAACATACCTTCACTTTTTTGTGAGAGTTTTCTAATTTTATTAGTAGGAAACTCTATAAATTAACTTAATATTTTTATATTCTTAACAAAGAGGAATGTAATGACTTATAAAATTTTATAGACCTTAATTATATATATATATATATATATAATTTTGAAACAAAATTATCAAAAGTTGCATGATATAATTAATTTTTTTACATTGTAAATATTTACCAATCTTGTATATAACGAAAAATAAATACATGAAACTTGTAAAGTTTATTGATAATTTGATTGAACAAAGATTTCAAAATATGTAATTACAAATGTGTCCTCTTGGTAATAGTAATTTATGTGGTTTAATTGTTAGGGCAACTTGTCTTTTCTTAAAATAAAATGTCAATTTTGTCATTTAATATCTTGATGTGCATTAGTTAAGTTTATTGCATTTAAATACTAACTTTGACTTAACCTTTAACTTATTGGGCATGTTATGGTCAGAATTTTGTGATGTCAAGACATTTGTTTTCTAATGTGTAACCCATAAAAGTTTTCTGATGTGAAAATTTGGAATTATGGTTTAGGAAAAAAAGTTATCGAGTTCCAAGAGAAAGTAGTCAAGGGCCTTCTCCATCATCACGTTAGCGTCGGAGTGGAATTGGAGTTCCAAGACACAGTTGAACATGTGTGGGAGTCTCCAGAGCTTCTTACCGGTGATCCCCAACGGCGCATGTGCCTTTAATATGGGGTAGATCTTCATGATGTTGTTTTTGCGCACCAAGATTAATAATATGATGATGAAGAAGACAATGTGGTGGAAACTGTGCAAATTGAAAAAAAAAACAACTAACAAAACGTGAGGAGATTAATAGTCATTTGACTTTAATGTACACGGAAAATAAACTTCTAGAAATTTTTTGCTGTAGGCATAACTTCGCATTAGGAAGCCGGTAAATATTAATGAAAATGATAACCTAATCGCAATAAAATAACTATCAATATTTTTATTGCAATTGGAATTTCATAGTAAAACATATAATTCTAAATAAGATATGTGAAATAATTTATTAAATATATAATTTCA